GCTGTCAAACAATGTGTTTATGTAGTCCCCGGTGTCATTTACGGCTGCCAAACAATGTATTTATGTAGTCCTTTTGAAATAAGGATTTAGAGAAAACAATAAACATGTAAGTCACCTTGGATTCTTTGATTTCATTATTTTCTTGACCAGCATATCATTAGAGTTAGAGATAGACACACGCGATGACCACAGACCTTTGTTCAAATAAGTACAACGCATTCAAGAAAAGTTGTTTCGACGCCTTTTAAACGAAGACGCAAGTCTAGTGCATGTATCTGTTTCATTTATTAAAACGTATACATTTTTTAAAGACATCTTCAATTATTAAGACATCTGCATTTATCAAGATATCTTCATTTGTGAATGAAATAGCAAAACAAGGTATGTGGAAGCTTGAATTGTCTACTGTGCTCTGTTCTATTTTATATTTTCATTTCTATTGTTAGCTGACGAAGGCCTTATGCCGAAACGTCCTTGTTTTTTGTCCTGTTCTCTTATTCAAGCTTCCACATACCTCGTTTTACTATTTCATTCATTTACTAACCTTGAATGCAGTCCTATAATTAAATATCTTCATTTATCAAGAGATCTTCATTTTTAAGGAATCTTCCAATTTTAAAAACATCTTCATGTGTAAGGACGTCTTCATTCATTAAGACATCTTCATTTATTAAGAGCTCTTCATTTTTTAAGACATCTTCAAATTTTAAAAACATCTACTTTTCTAAGGACACCATCATTCATTAAGATATCTTCATTTATTAAGACATCCACATCTATCAAGTTATCTACACTTCTTAAGACATCTTCATTTATTAATACATCTTCATTTAACAAGATATCTTCATTATATTAAGACATATTCCGTTAGCACGGGCAGTGTCGATCACCAAAATAACCAATAACGTTGTGGAAAGTCAAACCCATTTTTTGAGTGAGTTTTTTCTATCTTTTGTAACTTGAAGTTAAAGAAATTAACACTGACCTTACTTTGATAGTCAATGCTTTCAGATTTTCAGAACTTACCACTATTATAAATACATAATGTAGCAAATAATAAACTGAATACAGAAATTTAAAAAAAAAAAAAAAAAAAAAAAAAAAAAAAAAAATTAAAAAAAAAAAAAAAAAAAAAAGGATACGCAAACTACACCATGAACCAGTGGCGTAGGAAGTGGAATGAGGAGGGGGCACTCCAGGGGGCGGGGGCTCCATCCCTGGCGGCACTTTTTCCTTTATATGGATGATCGGCATTTTCGGCCATCTGCGTAACGCCTTTCGGGGTGGAGGGGCACCATCCCTAGCTACGCCACTGCTAAATAAAGTAGAGGCAAGACCAGGGATATAGGTTTAGAGTTTAGAGGTTACGAATGAAAGGGTGCAGTGTGGTGGGGGCGGGGTAGGGGGGGAGATGAAAGTTAATTGATTGAGGTGTTTTTATGATTGTTCAGTTATCTCAAAATAATGTCATGCCACTATAACGTGTTTATTATTGAGCAGCTTCTAATTTTAACGATTTGTTCGTGTTTTGTTGTCGCGTATTTTGTTGTGGAGAGTATTTGTGTAGCTGTTGCTGTGTGCTTTTGTATTCGTGACCTATTTTGGCTATTTCAATGGTCCCAATCATCATCAGGTGCAATGGTCTCGATCATCATTAAGTCCAATGGTCTCGATCACCATCGGTTCCAATGGTCTCAATCATCATCAGATCCAATGGTCCAATTATCATCAGGTCCAATGGTCTCAAATCATCATCAGGTCTTATGGCCTCAATCATGCTCAAATCCAATGGCCCCAATCATCATCAGGTTCAATCATCAGCAGATCCTATGGTCTCAATCATCATCACATCCAATGGCCCCAATCATCATCAGGTCCAATGCTCTCAATCATCAGCGGGCCCAATGGTCTCTATCATCATCAGGTCTAATGACCTCATTAATCATCAGATCCAATGGTTTCAATCATCATCAGATCCAATTGTCTCAATCATCATCAGATCCAATGCCCCGAATCATCATCAGGTCCAAAGGGCTCAATCATCATAAGGTCCAATAGTCTTAATCATCAGTGCTTTCATTAAAAAAAATAAAGTGTTATAACCCGACCTACACTGCCAAACTTTCGTCCAATTGTTCAGTTGTGCGAAATATTTTTTTTTCGCAAATTTTTTTTAAAGTGACAGCTGAAATTTAGATTTTGTATGAAAAAAAAAAATCGCCCTCAGTTGTAACCTACAAATATGGAATTCTTCAAGAAATTGGCTATTGGGTGATTGGAATTTCTACAGGATATACACTAAAAACTATTTCACAGTGAAAAGGGAATGACTAACCTTACAAGCTTAACTTTTTTCTTTCATTTTTGTTTAGAAACGGCAACCAAAACAAAACTAGTGTCTCGTGTTTCCCAGTGAGGGGCAGGAAAAAAAAAAGCTTGATAGTGATAGGTTATCTATGATGTAGAAGCAATGATAGTGATAGGTTATCTATGATGTAGAAGCAATGATAGTGATAGGTTATCTATGGTGTAGAAGCAATGATAGTGATAGGTTATCTATGATGTAGAAGCAATGATAGTGATAGGTTATCTATGATGTAGAAGCAATGATAGTGATAGGTTATCTATGGTGTAGAAGCAATGATAGTGATAGGTTATCTATGGTGTAGAAGCAATGATAGTGATAGGTTATCTATGGTGTAGAAGCAATGATAGTGATAGGTTATCTATGATGTAGAAGCAATGATAGTGATAGGCTATCTATGGTGTAGAAGCAATGATAGTGATAGGTTATCTATGGTGTAGAAGCAATGATAGTGATAGGTTATCTATGGTGTAGAAGCAATGATAGTGATATGTTATCTATGGTGTAGAAGCAATGATAGTGATAGGTTATCTATGGTGTAGAAGCAATGATAGATATAGGTTATCTATGATGTAGAAGCAATGATAGTGATAGGTTATCTATGATGTAGAAGCAATGATAGTGATAGGTTATCTATGGTGTAGAAGCAATGATAGTGATAGGTTATCTATGATGTAGAAGCAATGATAGTGATAGGTTATCTATGGTGTAGAAGCAATGATAGTGATAGGTTATCTATGGTGTAGAAGCAATGATAGTGATAGGTTATCTATGGTGTAGAAGCAATGATAGTGATAGGTTATCTATGGTGTAGAAGCAATGATAGTGATAGGTTATCTATGATGTAGAAGCAATGATAGTGATAGGTTATCTATGGTGCTACGAACGCATTACTGCCATGCAAAATAAACATATTGTGTCAGTCTAATAAAACTAATAAAAGCAATGAAAAATATTAATAAACACATTTTGGTGTAGTATTATCTTCTTCTTATTATTATTATTATGCCTTTTACCACGTCTGGGGCAAAGGCCATTCTCAAGAATTTTCAGTTAATCACGACCCTGTGCTTTCCTTTCCAGTAGTTTCCAGGTGTATCCCATATTTTTCATGTCTGCCTCTAGCTCGCGTCTCCATTTATTCTTAGGCCTTCATCGCTTTCTTTTTTTCCTGTGGATTCCATGTTGGGAATTGTTTGGTGATGCTTTCTATATTTTTTTCGGAGAGTATGCCCTATCCACCTCCATCTTTTCTTTATGATGTCTTCATCAATGGGCACAACCTGGTATGTCCTTTCTAGTAGATCTTTGTTGGTGATGGTACTTGATCATTTGATGTTCAGGACCTTTAAAAGGCATACGTTTATGAAGGTATGTACTTTCTGCGCAATGCTCGCTGTCAGAAGCGTAGCGAAGGGGCGGGGGGACGGGGGGGACAGATGTCCCCAGGCGCCAGCCGGTTAGGGGCTCCAAAATGTGCTTTGATATTATTTTATTGATGAAAATAAAGGGTTTGAGAGCTGAAAAAAAGAAGAAAAAAAGGCGCTTTAAAACGCATCTTGTCCCCGGGTGCCAAACACCCTCGCTACGCCTCTGCTCGCTGTTGTTTTCCAAGCTTCTTCTCCATATAGTAGGACTGTTTTGACATTTGTGTTGAATTTCACGTTGTTCTTCTTAATAATAGTAACGATATGGAATTGATTATCACACTTGAAGTTTTAATCTTTGAAACAAGACCACTTTTTTACATTATCTTTTTCTTTTGTTTATAGGTCGATCTTTAATGAAGCCTAAAGATAAATTTAAAGAAAATTTTTTTTTTTAAAATCAATATTTTAAAAAAGAGGGTTTACACTAAGTTTCGTCTTAATTTCATTAGGTTAGCGAATAATTTTTCTGAGCGTGATTTGCAAAATATTTACAACACATACTCCACAAGCTACAAGACCATATAGAAGAATACTAATACAGTAACATTGTTCAAGTATTTCGTAAAACTTTGCGTCTTTACTTTCTCATGAAAATATGACGGATGCTTAAATTTGGTGCAAATAAATTGAAGAACCTCCAACATTTTTTTGATCGCATAATTATAAATTAATTTGTAGTTTCTATTTCATTGTGGTCCTATAAATTATATTTAATTTATAATTTATCGTGTGACGACGCGTCCTTTCACTTTCAGGTTTTCCTTTATTTAAAAAGGGCTGTTGGCAGGCCAGCACATTTCGTTGCTTTGTACTTGTGATTTTTATCAATCTTTAATTAGTTTCACGTAATGTGTGTATGATATATGTGTCAAGCAATAATAACATATACATTATTTTGAATTTTTTAAAACTCATTAATAATTAAGTATGATCGTCACGCTTTTTCTTTAAATTTAAACACTTAAAAAAAAATAACCATCAACTACATTTCTCAAACAACTATCTAAATGCATTTTTAGATGGGAATCTGAATAAATTTAGTTTTTCTATATTGAACTAATTAAAACAATAGGCATTAAAAAGCATTTAAATAGTTAGAATTTGAATAAATAACAACGACATTGGTTAAGTTACATTTTTTTTCCAATAAAATAGTGATAATTCAACATTTCTGCTCGATTCTGAAAAGCGGTACTTAGCTTGACCCCCTAAGTTATCTTTAGTATAAAAATAAGGAGACGGAAAAGTTGAAGTGAATTTAAATTATTATTAGTAGTTTTTAAGCATATTTCTAATAAATATAAGCGATATCTTATATTTATAATGTCGCTCTCTACTGAAATGGAAAGAGCCCATGAACCTCGAGATGTTGACTTTTCAGCAGCTGGGAGAGGAGTTTGGCTTGTCAAGGCGAGTTCGTTTATTTTCCCACTAACAAAAAATAAAATGTAGGCGAATACTAATACTAATGGCAATGGCCAATGGCACATGTTCAAATGGACTTAGACTAAGTAGTTTTAAACACTCCGCTGTGGCTGCGTCATTATGTCTGGACTACATACTACAGGGTGATGTGTAGTCTGTGTGTTTTGAAATCAGATGTAGCCACTACTGCACAGCCTAGTATTTTGTGTAACAATGCCTTTGTGAAATATCAATTTCAAGCAATATTTAGTCATCAAAGTTAAAATGAAAAGTAAAAAAATGAAACATTAAATCATTTTAATTATTAAGAATGAAGGCAAAGACTGTGCAAGATAATTGGCTAGGTCGAGATATTTAAATTGAATATGATATGATTATTTTAGCCCCATCGTCAGTGTCGCTACTGTCACTATTACTAGTACTAGTATGCTTTGGCTTTGGATATAACATTATAATATTTAATATTGTTGCTAGTAACTAATATTAGGACTATTATGAATGTATTATAATAGGGCCTGATAATCAAAAAGGTAGGTATTGTGGACTAGACCTAGACCAGAGATTCAGGTATAAATTAGAAACTTTTTGCTTCACCTGAGCCATCAGAAATATTTAATTTCAATTTAACAGGCTTGAGACTCAACATTTTAGTATAGGCATAGGCCTAAAAATTTTTAAAATAAATATGTAAATATATTTCCTATCTCAAAACTAAATTGCAGTGCCTGGCGAACCGGGCGAATAATTCACGAGATATTCGTCCGGCCACCAGGTCACATGACCGATGGAACAAAGTTGGACGAGATATTTGTCCATCAGTCTTGTCACGTGACCCCTAATAGTCGATCATAAAACTGGCATCGGAGATGCATGGGGGAGGGGGGGTAGAGGGGCGGACAAGTAAACCCTCAATTTCAAATTAGTGGGGGGGGGGGGGGNGGGGGGGGGGGGGGGAGAAGCAATGCATACTTGAAGGAAGAAATACTGAGAGAGAAGGGATAAAAATGATAGTGAGGGTGATAAATAATTAAAGTGAGGAGATCGAAAGTTCACAAAGAAAAATACCCTATATCTTAATAAAGGGCCAATATAGTGTTCTGTTGGGGTAGCCTACTTCTCACGCAATATTAATAGCCTAAATCTGAAATAAAACTTTTTTGACAGTAGATCTTTTGACAGTCAACAGGCAAGTATTGGTCTTATTTTGTTTGATTCATATTTTAATTTTAGGGTACTAGGTAGAGATTTATAAGATATTTAAACCAAGATAACAGACTTTTTATTTTTCTGGCGACCTCTTGTCATATTACATGTCTGCCGGAATAATAACGCATACTAGTCGTCCGGCTGTCACGTGACATACCTGTCGGAAGAATATCTCCTGTACTATTTGTTCGGTCGCCGGGCGTGTAGACACTGAAAAACTAAATTTCCCACCAGTTTTCAAGGTGTCATTTGCCCCTCATTGGGAAATACGAGACTCTAGTTTTGTTTCGGTTGCCTCCTTTAAACAAATCTGTAAGAAAAAGTTAAGCTAGTAAGGTTAGTCATTTCCTTTTCACTGTGGAATGGTTGGTGTGTATATCCTGTATAAATTTCAATATATTTTTTGTATTTAAAAAAATTATTAGGTGCCAAAGTATCTATCAGAGCAGTGGAAAACTTGCCCAAATGGAACTGATGTTGGCAAACTGAAAATTTCAAAATCAAAGTAAGTTTAAATGATAATAATTATCTTGCAGTAGTCCCCACTTCTCTCTTTGTCTGTTACTTTCAGTGTGCTTCCTATAGGTGAATCACAGCCTCTTGTCCCTTGTGCTAGACCATGTCAGCAATTACTAGAGAATGCTTGTGTATTTAAGTTTCTATAAAATATAATCTTTTTTGTACGGTAAGGTCTAATTTAGTCTATTTAAAGAAAAACAAATATCTATTTTGTACTTAGGATAAGCAATGCTACTTCAATTGTGATTATAACTCTGCAGTGAGCATATGGCTTTCTTGTTGACATTTTTATTTTTTAAAATTTAACAGTTAATTAGTTCAACTATGATCTTGATCCATGCACCCTTTAGCCTGAGGCTGTTGTGAACGATTTGGAGCTTTTATTCAGTTTGCCTTTGTCCACAAAGGGTATTAGTGGTGTCATCCCCCCCCACGACATATCTATAGTGACATGCCGATTAAGAGATGCTGCCACTGATCTCCTGGCATTAACCGGGGTACAGCCCCACCATGTAGGGGACCTGGGTGGGGAGACAAAGGTCTTGCATGGTATCTGCCTTAGAAAGAGTACAGCTGAAAGTATGGTACATACCCAATTACAGTTAGAATTAAGGACAGAGAAAGTTTAGGATCATGATTACTAGTTACCGCTAATGGATGGGTGGGTAGTGGCAGGCCATGCCGAAGATTCTATCACTCTGCCTTTGAGGGGACTGTTCCTAGACAGCTGTTTCCACCCGGCTACGAGGTAAAACCCATTCGTAGAAACCCTATTAGAATGCGTCTGATGCCACCCCAGGTTGGGAAGGTGTTAATAACAAGGATTAATATAATCATTCCTGTAATAGAAAGTTCAAGTGCTGGTGTCATAGGGGCAACCTTACCAACTGACAAGGTAATCCTTGAATGAGATTGTCCCTCTTGTTTGGTCAATAAAGTGGACTGCAGGAGGGGCTGGGAAGTGCTTCCGGCATGTCGTTTCATGGCCCGATGTTCCACATTTCTGGTTTGGTGGGAGTATGCTGGGTAGGCTCTAATGAGCTTCAGCTTGATAGCTTGCTGTTTTTTTTAAGATAATAAATTAGTGGTTGCCTGTCAATTGTTGTTGAACTTTTAGGTGTAAGTACAGGGCAGTGATTATATACCGGTAGCTCTTAAATTTCAAAATTCCGGTATTTAACAAAAATTTTGATTTTGCATTTAGATGACTAATGCGTATTTTAATATATAACTTTATATGTGATAATTCAACTGAAGTGTTTTCTTTCTTTCAGACCCACAGGGAAGCCTGATATTATTTTTACAAGCTTTGACGTGACCTCAAAATCACGACCGACTAGTCATGATGGTGTGGCACAGATGGCAGGGCCATCTATTATTCAGAAACCATCTTCTGGCATGTCTGGGGCCAGGAATCATCAGTTTCTTGTCACTAATGTTGGCAATCAAAATCTTGTAGTTATGTCACAATCAAAGACAGGTAAACAAAAAAAGTATTCTGCTCTATTAAGCCTGTATGATAAATTTTTTCACAAGGTAAAGTCTTTAGTTACTCGGTAACTAAGATTCACCATTTTTTTTTTCTCTGAAAAAAGAGATTAGTAAATGGCTTTGTATATCTGTCTTCTATTTAAAAAAAAAAAATTATTTTAGATTTGAGACCAGATTATTAATATAATATAGATGTTTCATTGATAATTATAGCTTTAAGAATTAATGATAGCTTTAATGTCATGATTATGTCTCTTTTGATAATATTTTTATGTACAGCGTGGTGAGCCCAGCCCTAGGCTGGGGTACTGCGCTATAAAAGACCACAAATTATTATTATTATTAGTTCTCATTGACATGTATATACCAGTAACCAATAATAGCTTTAGTTGTCACTGACGTGTGTACCAGTAATTAAGCTTCCATTCTCCAAACCTAATAGTCATTTATACATTTTCAGATATCAATGGCAAAGAATTGCCAATAGGTAAATACAAGTTCTTCTACAGGAATAACTACTTTACTAATTAGTTTTTAATACGGTATGTTTCAAGTATGGGCAGGACTTTTTCTCCCTTAGCATTTCATTAATGTGGTCTTCAGTGCCGATGTTGTAAGAAAGTAAAAAAACACAGTTGTATGGGGAAAATGGTTATCATTAAAATACAATGCACATTAGTAAGAGAAAAGCTTTTAAAAATAAAATACTTTTTTAAGGACAAAATTTCCTTATAAATTATGAAACCAAAATGTTTAAAACTCTTTCAGAGAAAATCAGCATTGAGGGTAAAGTTTTGCAGAGAGCTGAGTGCCACCCAATAGTAGATGCACAGTACAGACAGTTAAAAAAGTAAGTGACATAGTCATGAGTTGAACAAATGATGCTTATGACTGGCAACTTAATTTTAATGTTAGATAAAAGTAAATTAAGTTATCGCTCATTTGATATACCACACTGGACAAGTCTTCATTTAGACTTTCATCCAGGTCTGCACGCTTTCTCTTGTATATCGCTTTATTAATTAAATATCTGTCATTTCAAATAAGCTGGGTAACAACACCGTTTCACAGCCCAACCACTTGGCTTTTGGTTATTTTTATGTCCCCCCGAAAAAGTATTTCTTACTTCATTAAAAAATTGTATCCTTTTAAACTAAATAACATCTGCACCCTCTCTGATTTTGTGAATGTTCTTTTAAAATTCATAATAAATTTAAACAAAATGAAAAAGCATTTTAAAAAAATAATTTTGTTACATGAGGGACCCTTCTTATGAACTAAAAGTTCCCTAAAGAAAATAGATTTATTGTGAACATTGATTACATGGAAACCCACAATAGAAAATGGACAGAAATCTATTGAACATGTTTTAGAATGTGAAATAATTAAGTTCAATAAGCTGTAATCAATTAATTATCATTTATATTATTTGCTTACTCAATACAATTTGAGAGATTCATCATTAGTAATCTGTGTGTACATTTAATAACAGCAATTCGATGTGTTCATTGTGTACATTTATTGATGGTGCGATGAGCCTGAATAATTTCTTTTTGTACTATTTCTTGGCCAGTGTGAAATGTGGATCTAGGTTTCTCTTCTAGGAATTACAGTCATTTCTAATATCCACTTTCCGTTCAAACAGAGAACAAGTCCAAGCCCAGAATACCCCCCAAAGACAGATAAAATTGCTTCCAGGCATTGTCCATTCCTACAAACCAGTCAGTGATCACTTCAATGTGAGTGCTGAAAAACACAAAAACACATCTTACTTGATTTATTTATGTTCAGTCTACTGTTAAATAATAATTTTTTTTTTTTTTTAAAGACCAGAATGTCATTATCATTTGTTTTCAAATATCAATAACTACAGTTCTGAGTGTTTTAAAGGGAATATTTTGTTAAGATAACCTATTACTATTGGCTTTTATATTGAAAATAGAAAAAAATATATTATTTACCCTAACATTGTTAAAGATGTTTACAATGAACAGTTTTCACTGCATGCTTTTCTTATTTGTCTCTGCATCAACTGGAAACTCTACCCACAGAATGTGTGCCCTCGTCAGATAATCAGATAACATTATTAAATATAAATAAGATTAACCAGCATGGAGTAATAAAGAGTGTACAAAGTACTAACTTGATTAACCAGCATGGAGTAATAAAGAGTGTACAAAGTACTAACTTGTTTTGTTCTCAGTTTGAAGACAAGAAGACTAAAAAGGCAGAGAAAAGATCCAGAGCAGAGAAGGACAAGGTCATGGATGTCCTGTTCAATGCATTTGAGAAACATCAGTTTTACAATGTTAAAGATCTTGTCGGCATCACTAAGCAACCTGTGGTAAGGGCGTTAACTTCAGTTCTTGGTATGATGTCATTGTGACAGTCACATTTTTTAATCTGATTTTTAGAATAATTTTCTTATAACATTGCCTTATGAAGTTCAATATTTACTTATACATTTTATAAGTTTTTTAGTTCTGAGAGAGATAAAATGTGTTGATTTAACCCTAATTAAAACCTCCATCAGTGTATAAAACCTTTTCTTCATTGTTCCTCTTTTCTTTCCTTTTACTAGCCCTATCTCAAGGAGATATTGAAAGAGATCTGCAGCTACAACATGACAGCCCCTCACAAAAATATGTGGGAACTGAAACCAGAATTCAGACATTACAAATCGCAGGATGAAGCCACATAACCTTGCCATTTTCTGTGTTATTATGTTAATATTGTAAGCTTTACATTGCATAAATGTTTTCATATTTGTAAATTTATTTTTAAAAAATCAAATAAAATGAATAGTTTTGACAAGGTTTTTTGTTAGACGTTTTTTTTTAAATTTTACATTTTGAGTTTATTATTTTCTTTACAGACATGAAAAATTTGCTAGTTAGAGTTAGAAGTATTGCATTGGTAATGGGGTGGGTGTACATTATTGCAATCCATGTGCTAGAGGTTGGTTTAGCGATTAAATTTGGGAATATTGATTTTAGTGGAACAATATTGTTCCATTGCTTTCTATCTTAGCTCACCCTTTCCGACTCTATCACCAATTGTATCATGATAATCCAATTTCACTGCTGTCTCGAGAAGTCTATGATAAGAGACACTGTCCTGTATTTCACAGTCTGGCTTCAACTCAGGGTACCTAACCCAATCACCAACAGACACGTCAAATTTTATTTGGCTAAAGAAGAAGAAAAAAACGTAAAATTGTTTGTACAATTAAAATTGTTAAAATTTTTCCAAATTTCATATCAGGCCTATTTACTATTTAACATTTAGTATGAATATATGTTCATAATTATAAATGATATTGCAGTTTGAAAACTGCTACTTTATAATGAATTTTCTTACCTTCGTTTCTGTTGGGAAAAAACAAAGGAATTATTTTCTTATTGTTTGGATTGTCCAGATGCCAGATCCAGATATTTTGAGACCATACCCAGAGGATCCGAGTCTGGATATTATATGAATTATCTATAGAAAAATGAGAACTGTGTTCCACTGAATGGGGAAAGTGAAAAATGCATGTATAGAACCAGTAGCAATCACAATTAATTGTAACCTAACAAGGTAATGTTCCTGGCAATATTAGGTACCACTCACTAGTCAGTTTTCTATTATTATTTATTTAATTCTTAGAGTTAACACCCCGACTCTGTTCTGGGTATTTCAGCCCTAGTTTGGATCAGCTTGGCGCTGTGAATCGGCATTCTCAAAAATGGAATGCATAAAGTCAAAATACAGTCCCTAAATTGTTAATTTAAATTGAGAGGCAGAGATGAGTTGTGCCTTGAGTACGAGAATTGAACAAACATTTTAGCAGTTTGTTAATGAATAAGAATGTATACATTTTGCAATCAGGTTTGGTTACATTTGATTAAACAGATTATTTCAGCATTAATTGTTTTAGTAGCATTATTTCATGTTTTATATACAGTGTGACGAAGTTTACTTTTCATTGACCTACCTCAACTGTGTTTTTGTGTGTGTGTGTGTGTTTTTTTAAAGGTTCAGCCTTACTAGGACCCCTAGTCTTGCTTATCCATCTCATCATCTGACTTATAATTATAATGACTTATCCATGTTGGCTAAAAAATATTTTGATTATTATTTAAAAAAATTATTTGGTCTAAATGATCAGTTGAAATTTTTCCCAAGACATTTGAGCTAATATTTTAAAGATCTCCGCCGAACTGATTTGTTGATGAAATACTGCAGTCTTGAGTCTCTTGATATTATTAACATTCAAAGAAATTTTAGAAACGGAGTGGCTATAAGTACCCGGGTACCTATAGCAGCAATTAGCTATTCGGACCCGGCTGGTCACGTGAGGGCTTTATAATATCCGGTTGGTCATGTGATGGTTATGACGGATACTTCCTGTTGGTTTGCCATCTTAGAGCCATAACTATCAATCATGTGCTATATTTTGAAGACCTCCATGAACCGGTAGCGTTGACGAAACACAAAGAACAATTTTACGTAAAGCTAAAAGCAAGTAAGAATACGTTTATGTTTATAATTTTATTGTATTTTTAAATTCTGTTTTAAATATAATTCTATAGGTAATCTACCACTTGAGCTTCGGCCAAGAAAAAAATCCAGCACTCACGCCCACGTCTTTTCAATTTTGCTCTAATATTTAAGCCACATTCTTTGTGCACTGTAAAATAGCACTTTTTAAACAATCTAATTCTAATCGATTTTTGAAACCTTATGCCTTATACAAGAAGACATACCTCAATGATTAACTATCAAAACAATATTTAATTGATACAGCATAGACGCTGCACAAAACCAACTGCTACTTTAATAAGAACAGAGTACCAAGTAGTAGGTAGTTCGGTAAGATCGGGGAAGTGCGGAAAACCGGGTATCGTGATTTTGTTGTCAAAATGGCGACCTCCACTTTTTAATTTACCGAGAGTCACGTTGTTTGCGACTTTTTAACTATAATATATAGCCCAACATTTTAATTCTATTTCCGCCCACAACTTAGAGTAGAGATGTTGTGTTATGATTAGACACTTGAGTCCCCCAAAAAATTTTGGGGCTTCACTTTGAAAATTTAAGGTAAAATAACGCAATTTTTACTCATTCGTATTTTTTTGTGTGGAAAGGATCCTTCCTTTGAATTTCAGGGACTTTATAAATAATGGTATTAACTACAACATATCCAAGACATGCTAATTTTAGACCCAACCGGATAGTCAGAAATTTACTCGGATATTCAGAAATTTACTCGGAAATTTTAATCACGTGTGTCCCAAAATTACCTATTATTGTTATAATTTGTTGCTATGGTAAATAACCTTATTTATTCTGGAAATCCAGCCTATAACCTCCTAATAACTGATTTAAAAATAAAAAGAAAATAATTAATAAAACAAACACATATTTTTAATATGATTTGATGCTTTTATTGAGGGATATTAGGTTAAAAAAGCCTAATTAATTACAATTAATAGTTAACTATTAGTTTTATATACTGTTATGTGTATACTATTAACTATATATATATATATATATATATAATATGTATGTATGTATGTATATAGGTACTCCAACTCAAATTTTCAAATACATCCGACATACGCAAAGAGCATATCATTGGAAAGAGCTAGCACTAAGCTTTCCAATGACACCAAGATAATCTTTCTATTTATCACTTATAGGAGTAAAGTTATGATTTTTATAGTGATTTATTTTTCCCCACTATTTGGCTTTGTATTTTAATTTTTGAAACTGTGATCACGTTATTACTCTTTTTGTACTATTTTGCTTGTATCTTTTTGGCTATTAAAGTTAGAGCTCTCAAATTTGGAGGATACATTTAAAATATAATGTGTAACAAAACAAAACACATGAATTGTGAATTAAATTAGTCTACTTGATAAAATATGATTTTATTAGCACATGGTGTGGACAATTATCGAAAAATTTAATTTGACAAAAAATGACATAATCACTAAACCAATAAAGCTATTGCTATGAAATTTTCAATACTAACATAATGTCAATCTAAAAGTAAGGCACATTTAAAATAAATAAAATACAAATCAGAAAAATGTATGCAATTTTAGAAAAAAAATATTTCATGACACGCAACACCCGCTGAGAAATTTTTACATTTAAATACATAACTTTTAAACTAATGAAGCTACTGCAATCAAACTTTCCGCACAAATAGTTTGTAACAATCCAAATGTAACAGAATATTCAAATATTGCAAAAGCAAATAAAATCATGCTATAAAAAATTTTAAAATTTGTAATCTGTCGGCGCTGATGTACATTTTTAAGCATAACTTTCAATAACATCTTCAGTACAAATAGACAGTGACAATCTAAATTTAATAAAGTATTAAAATACAAAAACAATAATTCAGAACATTTTATATAAAAGATATATGAATCTCCATCATCATTATTGTATCAGTGCATTTAAATACAAAACATAAAAAACACCCAATGTGTGTAGTAATCCTCGGTCCACAGCAACAGATTGTATCCTTGTCCACCTGAAAGTATACAAAATATTAAAAATTAAATTTTGCAATGAGCAAACATCAAAACAATTAAACAAAATGAAAATCTCCCATAAGAACACCAGAAACTAAATGTGAGTCCACCTGAAAGTATACAAAATATTAAAAATTAAATTTTACAATGAATGAACATCAAAACAATCAAAACATCACAATCTCCAAAATAACATCAGAATCTAAGTGTGACTGGATTAGCCAGTTCCCCAACAAGATACGCCTCAAGCTGCCTGTTTAGGACTAATACAAATCCTATAGACAGAGCAGCAACAGTCTCAAAAAATCGTGGACATGGTTCGTGGCTCTGGAGCTCCAGCAACACTTCATCCTCATCGAGTGGTTGATTAAAAGCATCTTCCTCCATCGTCAACATCAAATTGGGTTGTCTGTTGATCTTCTCCAGGTTGGCAATGCACGTCATCATGTGTGGAATCTTGATTAAAAAACAATGGTAAAAAACTAAAAATATTAACAATGCCACAATGATTTGGCTTTTTTAACAAAAATCATAAAAAAGATCTGAAGTAAACACACACAAAAATTACCTACCATTTCCAAATGATTTAAACCTTCATAGTTTCTGTAAAACTGAGTCATCCAGGGTCCAGTTACAAGTTTCCCAAAGAGACCTATCATGAAAAATGCAAAGTATTACTAGCATAAGAAACATCCACATACAATTTAATATTTATTCATCTTGTCTATTTACCTAATATGAAATAATGAAAAGAGAAATAGAACTAGGTTACCTAAGACTTGTAGTTGAATAAGAATCTCATTGCACCAGATGTCATTGAGCAGGGCCGTTCTCAATTTGACAGATATGCAAAATTTCTTAAGGTACCGGGCCAGTAATTCTCTCATCTTAAAAATGACGCCTGCAAGGTGAAACAAAATGTGGAGTCTGTTCCCAACATAGCGAGGAAGAATTCCAGGTTTAATATTCTCCTTCTCCAGGAATGCTTTAAACCCTGCAGGATCACAAGATGAAATCTTATACCTGTGGAGGGGAAAAAAACACAAATTTCATTTTGTCCTTATATGAAAATGAACATCTTAACAAATCACCCAACTGCATTGAAACACATTGATTAACTTTCGCCCTGTCACTAAGAGTGGCATTGAAGGACTGCAAGATACGATGTAACACAACGTGCTGATCCACCTTGTTGTATAAAGAATACAGGGTGGCTAGATCCTGAAGGGAGTTAACAAGTTGGTTCAGGTAGTCCTCCGTCTTACCTCCAGGAACTCCAGCCACTTCAATGGTCAGGTTCTGTTCACCTGTAGAGATATGGCAAGCATTGTAGTGCTGCCCATCAATTGGTGTAGAGTCCCAGGAGAAAGTGAGTTTTTCTGAAAAGTACATGATATCACCTACCTGAATATCCGACAAGATTCCAATCTCTAAAGCCATGTTTGCAATGGTTGAAGATCCTGGAATGTCAGTCAAGTCCAGCCCCGTTAACTCCTTCACTGTAAATGGTATAACCACCCCTACTCTTTCAACTGGTACTTGGTTTATCAGGCAGTTGTAGATACATTTTCTCATTGGCGCAGCGTAGGTCTTTCTTTGTAGTTTCTTTGCAGTCGGTGAATGGGACAACGATGTTGTGGTTGGAATGGCTTCCTCGCTTTTCGCCTCCATTAAACTGTCGAGGGTAAACAATGCATTTTACATTTCAATGAAGTTTTCAGAGCTAAATTTTGCCTTCTCAGCAATAAAATGTGACGCTCTAACTTCTTTTTCTCTCGCTCCAGTTTGATGATCTGAGCTGAACATTCAATACATTTGTTTAACATCTGGTTCTGGAGCTTCCTTTCTCTTGTTAAAGATTTATTTTTTAGCCTCAATTTATTTTTATTATTTCAGCCTTTCTTTTAAATGACTGATTTAAAACACTTTGACTGAAGCGCTTTGAAAGCTCTTTAACTTTGTTGTTGGTGTTCTTAAGCCTGTCCGCCAAACTTCTGCATTTAGTGTGACTTGCCTCTCTAAGAGAAGGGCACTTCTTACAGTCATTCCTCAACTTTTTTAGAGGAGGTGAATTCAATGATGAAGTATCAACTTTAACAGCGATTGCAGTTGCCTCAGACACCTTCCGCCTCTTTTTTGCACTTGATACTGGAACCTGCAAAGGTTGCAGCAGCAGGTCCTCTATCACGTGCCAGCTTTTGTCGATACTTTTCTTTAAATCAGAAACCCTCTTCACAAGCCTGTATAGGTTTGATGAGATAACATTAAAATTTTGCACATAGGTACTGTCTGATTGCTGGAGACATTGCACTTTATAAGTTTAAAGTGCAGAAATAAGCAGCCACTCAAATTTACTTAACAGGAAAATCACAAAAA